TATATATATATATATATATGTTTCTCAGTCTTAACATTTCATAAGTTGACTTGGTATTATTTCACTTTGTACTATTCTGCATTGCTTTATTATTATTATTTTTTGATTTACACTTTACACAATGCACCAATTCATTTGGAAACCAGGTTGTAGAATATGTTTGATATTGCATTCATCTAAGCAAATGAGAAAAAGTATGTGTTTTTCTTTGGCTTAGATACAATTCCCTGCTTACTGACTCCGTGGTGTGACTGGAGTGATTGCAGTGTAACTTGTGGGAAGGGTTTGAGGACACGGCAGCGTATACTCAAGTCGCCTGTGGAACTGGGAGAGTGTACAGAAGAATTAGAACAGGTTGAGAAGTGCATGCTACCAGAGTGTCGTAAGTAATGAAATTAACCAAGCACTGAACATGTTCATCTCTAATTTATTAATTTATGTCATTTATCATCTAATACTTGTTATGAAAACTTGAGTCTTCATGTGAACATTTACATTCATAAGGGGACTTCTGTCACAGTAAGAAAGGGCAGATAAACAGAGTTGGTCTTTATCTTGTGTATTCTAAGTTTCTTGTTTATTCTCATTGCGTTGATGTATATTGATATAGATGTGAGTAGCAACATGCCTAACCCTTCCTGAACCTGTCTGAACATGAAAAAAGCAAAAAGTCTGCTTGTCACACTTTTGAGAGTTCTTGAGATCTGTTTCAACAAATGAAATAAGATTAGACTGAACTTCCTGCATGAATGGACCACTGAAATGTCTGTCTTGTTATATGGTAATTATCATGGATTCTCTTACATAATGACTCAGAGTATTGGATTTTGTCAAGGCATATCTTGAATCTTCACAGGGATAGAACGTTTTCTCCAAGACAGTGATCCAAATGTTAACTAAAATTTGATACAGAAATTAAAACTAATGTCCTTCATTATTTTTGTGTCATCGTGTGATTTATTGAACGGTTACTCATTATTAAGGCTTTTTTTTCATATTTCTTCTTAGCCATAGACTGTGTCATGACAGAGTGGAGCGAGTGGTCAGAGTGTAATAAGTCCTGTGGGAAAGGTCATACAATCCGAACACGCATGGTGATGCTTGAGCCTCAGTTTGGCGGAGATCCTTGTCCCGAAGCGATCCAGCGGAAAAAGTGCAAAATCAGAAAGTGCAACCGAGGACAAGGCAACAGTGATGAGAAGAAACGTCGCAAGGAACAGCGTGAAAAGAGGAGGAGCAAACAGGGCAGAGCTGAAGGCAACTCCGAGCATCCAGGTTGGTATACACCATCCTTTTTGCTGATTCAGGACTACAACACTTACAATGTACCTCTTTTTTTCTCATTTTTCTTACTCTTAGGGTGCAGAATGAGACCATGGTCAAGTTGGACAGAATGTACAAAGATTTGCGGCGGAGGAATTCAAGAACGCCTCATGACAGTAAAGCAGAAGATTAAGACTGCCCAGCTGTCCAGCTGCAAGGACAGGAAGGAGATCAGAGCTTGTAATGTTCACCCCTGCTAGGAAGGAGTAGGGTAGCAGTGGGTGGTGGGGATGGGAGGATGGGTGGACTGGGAAGAGTACAGGGCACACTGTTGCACAATGATCCAATGCACTCTGTTTAGGGCTGAAATGACACATTCTTGAATCCGTATAGGTTAAATCCAGACATCAGGTCAGCTGTCGTTAACAGAAGAAAAAAAGTCAAACATTTCTCTGTAAGTCTGGATTTAAACTTTAAAGCTGATTCTTTTGTGCTTTCAAACTAGCTCTGACATGACTCTTTTGCAACATTACTGTAAACTTGTTGTGGTATATTATATCTTGAAAAATATAATTATGAACTATAAATTGTTTTCATAAAAAGAAGAACTGTTATATCTTGTGGTATCCTTAAGTAGTACAGTATATTCCAGACTTTAAAGCACAGGTGCCCAGCCATTCCAGTGTTTTATATGCCTTCAGTTGTTCAGTTGTTTCTAGGGAACAAAAAGCCCAGTTGACTTTATACCCGGCTATGTCGTTGTACATGTAGATGCACCACAGCTGACATCTATATGGTTTGGAGCATTATTAGAAAATGTATTATTTTTTTGCAGTGGAATTTTTTGATAAGAATGTGTCCCAAGATTCTTACCAAAGTCTTGTGTAGATGTTTTCTAGGTGTATTTCCCTCATTTTGTTTATCTCTGTTCCTCTAACATATTAATATTTTGGAATAATATCACCTTTACAATAAAAGTAAATGTGACAGCTTGTCAAATTGATCTGTGTTTTTATTCTGGGGATTAACAGGCACAGTAACATGAACGGTTATATACCCTTGTGCTACCACTAGATGGGGACAACAAGCCTAAAACCTTTAGGTCATTTCTGAGGCTGGTGCTTTATCTGCCTGTTGTGCCTCGCTCGCTCTACAGAATAGCCACAAGGGGGCAATGTAATGAAGATAATTTCATACTAAGAGAAGGATATTTTATTCATTTCTGAATGTTGATTTGGTTTGCAAATAATACTTGAAATTTCCTGAAACTGATTGGGATAATTTGCTGCTTATTATCATTCATAGAGCAGCAAACGGTACGACCTCTATTCAAAAGCCTCCTATCAACAAAATCGTTTTACAGGAGTGTTCTGATAGACAGAAACTGGGGAGCATTCAGGAGCATTTGTTAGCTACACAGAGGGTCTGCTCTCACTTTAAAAGATCATAGCAGTTGGAGAGCGCTGAGTTTTTATGGACGTGCTTGCTGAGATCTTAAAAGAATCTGCCCCCCTATCATGTAATAGGTGGGGGGAGGGGATGGTGTTAGGCCTTCCTCACTGTGTGGAACTCTGGGGACAAGGGTGAAAAATTCAATACACACACATCATAATGTCATTCCTGTTTCCATGCCAACACAACCACACATGGGGGAAGCCTACACACTGCACAGGCGATGGAAACATGGTGGGGGAATTATTACAGGCGTGACTGAGATGTTAAAACAATAAATGCTTTGGAAGCTATAATGAGAAGTGCATGGGATTTTAAAAAGATGCATTTGCAAGGAATGTGTGTTTATATTTGTTTGTAATCTGAACCCCTAGAAACCCTTGTAGACATTATCTACTTTCTAGTTCTAGTGGAGAGCCAGCTGCTGATTTTTTTTTAGCCCACCTTAAACTCTTATAACAGACTGAAAATTATCTCAAAGATGCAAGTGAACTTTACACGCCTCTCATATTGTAATGAGTGTCCTCTGTCTATGGACAAATTTATAAATATTTATATTGACGGGACAGTGCCCACTACTAAAATAATATCTTAACTCTCAGCCCTCTTCCTCATTTTGTATGCTTCTGATTCCAACTGAGAAAAGAAATTAGGTCCAGCTGTTGTTGGGATAGACACACATATCTGCCATGTGGGTTAGGCTGACATCATCTTAAGTGATACAAGCTTTTTTAGCCTCAAATATTCATGTATGTTAGCCTGCTGCAAAAACAGTCCTACTTTTAGAAGTTCTGCATGCATGGAATGGCATGGAATTTTTTGCATGACGTGCAAAAATGATACGGTATAAATTCCATTGTAGTTAAGTTATTTAAGTTTTGGTGTCATAAATTACCCAGAAAAGCACTCTTTTTACCACTAAACATCAGTTTCTCCATTTTTAAAAATGGTGTTCCCTACAAATCTTCCATAAATTCTTAAGATACCTGTAAGAAGCACAGGTACTTTGATAAAGAAATAATTCCGTTTTGGATGTGAATATACGTCTGGTCATAGAACTGAAACGCTTCTACAGCCATGTTAATGCGCTGTGAAACCGTTCTTAGGCAAGGTTATTTCTTTGAGGTGAGTGCTAACTGTAACATGTTAATATAAAGCCCAGGCTAACGTCTGTGTAACATGTTGTATTTAGCACACACAGCATGTTGGCAGGACATTATCTGTTAACACTAAGCAGGATCTACTGCTGAGGCTTCTGGAAGCATTTATTTCCTCATAATAATGGTATTGGAACTGTAGTGAGAAGAACTGTTGAGGATTACCAAAGTCATAATTATCTATATAATATTTATAGACATTTATCCAGGCTTCTGAAATAATGGCCCATCCTAGTTTAGAGAACCCCACATTACATTAAGCAGCTAGTTAGAAACCAGTATAATATGATCTTCTAATATTTCTGACTGGTTTCTGAACATTTTTGTTGGTATAGAATAAAAGCTCTTGGCTATTAAATTTTTCTAAAAAAGGTACAAGGTTTGAGTTCCTTTTATATTGTCCTCTTAAGCAATTCCTCAGTCTGGAGAGGAAGACAGAGGAAATACAGGATTTCATAAACTAATAAGCCTCAGAGGGAAAATCAATAAGGTTGTGAGGCCTGCAAAGGATGGTTTCCTCAAATTTATAGACTAGGACAACAATCAGTGTCCGGCGCTGCGAAAGCTCAGTTTATATTAGAAAATGTTTAGCATATTTAATTAAATCAACAGTTATAGTGAGTGAGTGAGGCAGTGAGGCAGAGCTTTGTGAAGTCTGAAGCCTCAGGCTGCAGCTATTTCCTCAAGGGTATGAATGCATATTTATTTCAAAGCATAAATGGCAGTTCTGCTTGTTGTTCTGCTTTTCTCCCGCTATAATTTGCAGTCACACCTTTGTAATGTTGGTAGCAACTAGAAGGGCCTTTTACACTAATTTCAAAATTTGATTTCACTGTCATGTTAATTTCCTGTTGCTGGGGAAACATGTTTTTCTGGGCTTCACAACCTAAAATTTAGTGGCACCCCAAAACAAGACTATAAAAGCTTCAAATTGTCTCAGAATGTTTTTGTTTTATTTTTTAGCTTTGAAGAGTGATAACACATGAATACCAGGGCAGTAAAATAATGTTGCACATACTAAATAGGTATTATAATGCCTATTACATAGTAATAGTAGGCCTTTTTTGAAAATTTTTATTTTGCTTGACATAATCTCTGTTAGCCTGAGGTGAACTGCATGACTTCCCTTTTTCTTGGACTATTAGGAATCCTGTACTTAGTGAGTATTGCCCATTACAAATCGCTATGTGTATACATATAATGAGCTGAAACTACAAAGCTTGTTTTTGTGTTGATGAATAAAAAGTATCGGCAAGTTGGCCTTTTTAAAAATATTTTTAAGAAATTCAACCCTATGACCTTAAATTAGATAGGTGAGTAAAACAACCCAAAAGCATTGGACTGCTAGAATTCAGAATCTTGGAGCGTAGGAGGAACACTTAAATTATCATATGTTCTTTAAAGGGACAAGTTACTCATTTCTTAACACTTTTCATGCCATTAAAGTGATATTTCACCAGCAATGAGAAAGACAACTGCAAACTATAAGCAAAATTCTATCTGTCACTAAAGAATTTATATAAATTCAGCATGTTGACTGGAAATGGGTAGCTGTTTAGTAAATAGTTTATATATATATATAACATTTATAGTACGCATCCATCACTTCTTTATATTTTGCCAAGAAAATGGTAAATATGTGGAGTGATTTGCTGAAATGTCCAAAAGCACTTTTGCACATTTCAGACAGACTGAACATTTCCAGATGAATGGTGCATAAAAACTTCAAGGCCCTTTTCTGTATTCACAATTTCATCAGATTTGACAAGATCCCCCAAACCTCTGGCCGAAATGCTCCTCCAAACCATGAGAGATCTTTCATCATGTTTTACAGATGACTGCAGACACCAGAAATGTTAAATTTGGATTCATTGCTGATATGGCATGTTTTTGGATAATGCTTGAGAATTTTACTTTCAAGCGTTTGGACCTTACTCCCAAACTCATTTTTAAGGTTTTAAATTTATTTACTTGACCAAAGAGTTTGCATTATTAAAATAGGAATGCCGAATTTAGGCTGGAAATACAAGACTGCCATCGTTTTTATTACTGCCACTTTTGTCTTTCAAAATAAAAGTATCAAACATTTAACCCTGGAGAAGCCATGGGGTCAGAGCCGACCCCATTGGTTTTCTAGGGAAACCATGGGGTCAAATTTGACCCCATGGTTTCTCCAGGGTTAAACCTTAAATGAAACATTAACCAAACAAACAACATGCTTGTTACTACATTATTACCCCCGGGTTCTGATCTGTTATTAACCAGTTACATAAATTTTAATATAAAATATCACTGAGCTTTGGATATTATTTTGGAAATTAAGCTTTGATAACTTGCTATTACCTTCTCGTTTCCACCTTACCCCACTAACAGCACATTAATACTTGGCTGAAATAGAAAGTGCTACCCTTTTTCCTTTGTTGTTTGTGAGTTAGTTCTTTAATCCGCAATAGTTTATAATTAAACACCACTCGTGTTTTACCCTCACAACTTCTTTTGAATAGAAAATACGTTGTTATTTGTCGATGTGTCTATATGTGGGTGTGTACACAATATGTTTCTTTGGCTACATCCTGAGAGAGCTTAAACCTCCTTCTCTCAGCATGGCTGTTGATTCCTTCACTCCAAACCGATTGGCCTGGGTCACAGTGAATCAGAAGACAACAGAGAGAAAGCCAGAATCACACATCCATCTGTTCTCACGTCTTTGCTTATCGTTGTCAGACAACTTATTAGAACAGCAGGTAAATGGATAAAACGGAAGAAAAAAAAGTGAGCAAAAAGTGCTGCAAATGCAAGACAGTTCTTGAGGTTAAACCAAAAGATTACATTCCTATTTTTAATTTACTGGGCTTAACAGTTTGCTCCTATTGGAAACATACCCTTAGGATTTGCATTTGTCTGTATCTCGGTTAGTTTGATGGCTGAAAACAGTTTTGATAGTCATGGCTAAATGGGGTAATTGTCTCAGGAAAGAAATCCCAAATCTAGATCGCCACCAAAACTGAATCAATTATTCAACCGCCTGAGGATTGTCTGTCTAACGAATTTCATGGAAATCTGTACGTTTTTTTTTTTCTTTTTTAGTAGCATTGCAGACTATCAGACACAATAAATGACCCCCTTCTGCAGAGTTAATTATTTTAGTGGGTGCTTGTTATGGATATAAAAGGATTTTGTGAAGCTGTAAAGTTGACTGTAGGCAAATTTAGTCAACTATCTCTGGCAGTTCTCACTCAGTGTTGTTAACAAAACTTGGCAAAAGCTTTGAGATATTGATGTTGTTATATAAAGCCTAGTTTCTCCACTCTATAGTTTGGCAATATTCCCATAAGGACTGCATAAATAGAAAGTGTGTTAAACATGACAGATTTTTT